ATAAATTATGTTTCAATATTCTATGAAATATTATATATTATGAAAATCTTGTCAAATATTACTCCCATTATTACACTTCTTTTTTTCATTACATGTTGCCCCAAAAACACATTAATATGCAAATTAGATTTAGTTTATAGATGCATTGTATATAATGAGAAAACCTGTTTATGGCCATTTTACACACATTTTGCAGAAAGAAAAATGGTATATCAAATCATTCTGTTATAACATAGTTGAAAATAATTTTTATACAAAGTTTAGCAAAAAAAAAAAAATTGTTTTTGCCTATGCATGTTCATTCATGTCTTTTTATTTTTTTTTTAAATTGAGTCCCGATGTCCTCTACCGAGGACATAGCATAACTTATGAATGAAATATCATTTTTTATTTTTATTTTTTTAACTTTTTTTTTTAATGCTCTAAACAATGTAAAGACATGAAAAAAACGATTTGTTTTGCCTAAAAATCTTTTCTCGGGTCTTAAGAGGTTAATATATTTTAAAATATAATTGATTCCTGTGATGGCAGGAAAGCTGTTTTTTTTAGAAGTGTCACTTCAATGTCACATGCAATTTGCTCCTCAAGACACAGTTCTTATTATAAGCAATGTTGAGAGAATTTATTTTAAACAAATCTTTAACATTGTAGTGTCTGGACCAATCAAACACACAATTTTTCATTTGATTTAACAAATCAGTTATTCATTAGATTAACAAATCGTCATTTGCACCTTTTTACAAAGGTGTGTTTGAACTAAGAAACTGATGTTTCCTTCAGGCTGTAGATCTGCTGAATATGCAACTGGTTCCATAACTTCATATTCTTATTTTCTCTTCTCTCTACTGCGTTAAGCTTTAACCCTTTCCTAGTGTGTGTGTGTGTGTGTGTGTGTGTGTATGTGTATGTTAGACCAGTTTAAGTGTTTATGTAGTACGTTGGACTAGTTTAAGTGTTTATGTAGTATGTTAGACTAGTTTAAGTGTTTATGTAGTTAATAAAGCCTTACTTGTATCACACTTGACGTTGTTCATTGTTTGCTCATAACTGGAGTCACTTAATCATGCAGATTTATGCTACAAGCTCTTTGTAGAGTTGTACAGTAAGAAAGTTATTTCCCTTAACCAGGAAATTAACGTTCTTAGAATTGACAAGACAGTTGACCCTGAGAGGTCAAGTAAATATCTACAGCGGATCTAAATATTTATAATTAATTATAACTAGTTATGATTAATTATTCATATTTCCCCATGAGCTGATTCGCTACAACATTATAAATGTCTTTACCGTCTCCTTTTAGCAAAACATTGTATCCTTGCTAGATAAAATGTTTCTTTCAAAATTATACTGACCCCAAACCTTTGAATGGTAATGTAGAATTTTAAAATCTTATTTAATAAATATGAAAATACGTAAAATCTCAATATTTTTTATCACATCGAAGTCACTTAAATTCAAAAGGTCTGAAACAAAAAGAGTTTTGGGGTCACATATACCTTTAGAGTGGAGGAAATTGTAAAGCTCCCTGCCCACATCAGTGTTCATGGTCTGCTGGAGGAAAGTGTCCTGCTCCTGCACTTCCTGTGAGGGCACATCCTCCGCTTCCCCTGTCACCCTTCTATAGTTGTCTAATAGATCCAGCAGAGCTTTATATGTGGGCTTGGAGAGCAAAGTACTACTCACTTGCTTGAACAATCTAAGAGATAACGAGCGCATTAGAATACATAATAACATGCATGTATGTGTATATACTGTGTATATGTGGTTATCTGTGTGTGCAGTCGGTGTCTTACGGCTGAGATGAGAGGTCATCATTGGAGCCGGTCTCAGATGAAGAGATCAGTGTCTGAGGATCAATAACCAGCTCTGAGGCTGTGGCCCTGTTATGGTCTAACTTGTACAGCGTCTCAGACAGAGACTTGATCTCAGCGTCAGAGACACTGTCTAATACTTGGGATAGGAAAAGGATAAAGAAAGAGTTAGTGCAAAAAGTGGAAGTGGAAAGGAAAACCTGACAAATCCTGAGCAAAATGAAAGAATAAACAGAAACTGAAACAGTAATTACTGCAATTAAATGAACCAAGCAATTACTGCAATTATAGATTCAAATTTCAATATTCAATTTCTAAAATTGGAAATCTGTTGTCATATCAAGAAAACAATGTTAGTGATCAGTCAAAAGGCTGAACATGTTCAGTGTTCATAACTAAATCTAACTAGATTTAAGTTTATTATTGTTTTTGTTTTTATACGTATGTGTGACACAATCCTGGGTGTAATGCAGATTTGTGCTGTTAACAGCTACAACCGTAACAGCAATTAACTGAACTTACATCAGATGTATACCTGTGTAGCATTTGTAGACTGAAAATAATGTAAAATAATAATAAAGAAATAATGTTTTATGAAAATAAATAAAAACATGAAAGTTCCTTTTCTTTGAATAGTATTTTAAGTGTTCTTCATACAAATAACTAAACTGATCAATTACGCAATAGGAAATATGGTGTTTAGCATTTTCTAATGAATTTTGAGATTAAGTGTGTGAAACTACAGAAGTAGACACAGCTGAGTTTCATGCCATTTTTGGGATCCAAAATAAACAGGACTCAGGGTCAATGAGTAACTTATCTCAGATAACCCCCTAATATCTAGAACTAAATCTTTCTCCTATTTTTATGCCTGTTATAAAACCCTGATTTGCCCCACGTGACTCGGCAGACCTTGACTATTGTACTGTATGTAAGAGACGAATAAAACCTGTGTTTGTTTAGAATTACTTTGAATGATTCATTAGAGTATGTGATTCCTCTGATTCATTATTCGTTTGTGCCTTTTGTCCAATTGAACACAGACAAGGAGTATTAAACTATATTCGTTAAACTACAAACTTCAGGCCAGCTTGACTTGACAGAACAGCAGAATTAGTTTTACAGCTTTAACGTGCAAGACCAGACCAGCTACTAAACTTTTTTTTAAGCCATACACTCTCAGAAAAGGTACAAAGATGTACCTGTTTGCCTTTACACTGGTACCACCCCAATGACAGCTTTGTACCTTTTTTAAGAGAATGATTTTGTTTTACAGAATCACAGATGCTGACGCTAACCTCGACGACCACACTGCTTTTTATAGTCATCGCAGCAGTCCTCATGCTGCTGGCATTGTGAATCGCAGTGGCAGTCGTTCAAAGAATTGTTAGGCTCTCCACATCTTCCTTTACAAGAAAGTGAGCCTTGAAGGAGGTGAGATATATTTCACATGCTGACTGCTAAAGCATCATTTTATGTGAAAGAAAAGATCTACCACCCAGAGGCATGTCAGTATCCTATTATTTATACCAGTAGAGCTCAACAGTATGAACTCAGCAAAGAACAATTAGACATAAGGCACAGGATTTGATTAAGGAGATTTGGGTATAAATCATTAGGAGAAAAAAATGAATAAAATAGGAAAAAGTCAGGGTAAAATTCAGTATTATAATTTCACACTTACAGAAGTCCAGGGACTCTGACAAAGAGAGAGAAGGAACACTATTTGCATTAGGATAACTATGCTGTCCAAAGACCAAAATGTAGCCTACATGAACATGTTCAGTTTAACTGAACGAACAATCAGGATGGAAACTGAAGGTATGAACTTACCGCTGTAGCCCTGAGAGATCAGGGTGATGGTGAGAAAGAGGATGAGGATGATCTTCATTATGTACTTCAGACGATCTAGATGCACAAACTACAGATTAAGACTTGGTTCGGTTTTTATACCATCTCAGATCAATAAAGCTTAAGGAACTCCTCCCATGCATCAACACATTCTGTTGTGATAATGACTACTAATATTTAATAATAAAGCACTAGGTGACTCAGTTCAAACGTTTTGCTGTGTTGCTATGAGCAAAAAGGAAATTTTGGGAGTGGTAAAATGACTACAAAGAGGAAGTTTGTAATCACAAAATAAAATAAAATGAACGAATCTCTGTTCCTCTTTTTCAGTCAGCTGGTCCAAAATCTTTGAGAACAGTTCTCGTTCTCAGGCTCCAGAAATCTGGTGAAAAAGATGAATATAGAATATACTAATTGAATACAATCTTCCATGCTTCATGACAATTTCATGGTCTGATCCATTTGCCAAGAATGTGTTATTGGCAAGAAAGTGTTCCATAAAATGCGCAAACATTCAGAAAGAACAGGTGGTAGCATTCACACTGCAATCACTATACTCTTGTCAAAGTTTTTTTTTTTTTTTTTATCTCCATGTTGGTGTAGAGCTGACACATTCTTACTTTGAATTGTAGAGTTTTTCCCCATGTTGTACAGCACCTTGAATCAAGTTGTTTTTAAATGTGACCCTGGACCACAAAACCAGTCATAAGGGTCCATTTATTGAAGTTGAGATTTATACATCACCTGAAAGCTAAATACATAGGCCTAAGCTTTCCATTGATTCCATTAAGTTTGTTAGGATAGGGACCATACTTGGCCGAGACTATTTGAAATCTGGAATCTGAGGGTGCAAAAAAATCAAAATATTAAGAAAATCGCCTTTAAAATTGTCCAAATGAAGTTCTTAGCAATGCATATTACTAATCAAAAATTAAGTTTTGATATATTTACAGTAGGAAATTTACAAAATATCTTCATGGAACATGATCTTTACTTAATATCCTAATGATTTTTTGGCATAAAAGAACAATTATTGACTGACTTATTGTCAGTTGATCTGGTTCAAAATAAGTCAGACTAACTGAAATAAACCTGGCTTGTTTGGTAAGCTTGTTTTATGAAACAGGCCCCTGGTATACCCAAACAACAACAATAAAATACTATTGTTATTATTATTATTTGAGCAGGTTTATGCATTTTTTGTATACAAATTTATACATTATTTGTATACTAGTTTCGTTAGGCATTGTTATTTTCATTTTCACAATGGATTACACTGTTCCTTCTGTTCTTCAGTAAGCTGCAGTGTAAACTCCTGTGCAGTAGATGGCGCTGTACGTGACTCTTGAATTCTGTTCTGTTTGACCTTTCTCTCTCTCTCTGTAGAAAGCGTGCTTCAATGACATTCCAGCAGTTACTGATGTAAGGAAGCTAGTTTTAGTCCTGAGGAAGATATAGAAATGGCTTTATATTCTTTATTTCGATCTGTCAGGACAGAAGTAGTCAAGGTGGGCTTTGTCATAATTCGCACTCTAATCTTTTAATGTTTTTGGCTGGATGCTTAGAAGTTATGATGCTCTTTGCATGACAGTCTGCTTTGATATGAAATATTTGGCTTGTTATTAAAATAAAGGCGTGTTTTAAATAACAGATGACAGTATTTGTATAACGATTTCCATACGGCTGTGTAATGTTCTGTTGCATCATTAAATCGTGTCATATTTATAACGTGTTGTTCATAGGGATGTGTCACGCAGCACGTTCAGTCTCTCTACACCAGCTGCCCGAGTTTAGCAGCAGATAAAGCACTTCTCCTCAAATTACGTAAATCTACGGGCTACACCTTCATCAACTGCAAAAAGGCACTGGAGAAATTCAACAATGACGTTACACAGGTGCGGTCCAGTATTTTTAAAAGATTGCTGTTAAAAGAATGGAGGATCTTATGCAAAAGATCTGATATACATTTTGATTTTACTACTTGAATTTTAAACCCACTGCATTTTTTTTTAAACTAAAAAGTTTCTAACAAGTTGCTTTGTATTAATTACAAGTCATCTGATTTGTCAGGCACAAATAGTAAACTCACATCCTTGCCATAGTTGTTGTCGTCTCTGTTTATATATATATATATACAGGTGCATCTCAATAAATTAGAATGTCGTGGAAAAGTTCATTTATTTCAGTAATTCAACTCAAATTGTGAAACTCGTGTATTAAATAAATTCAATGCACACAGACTGAAGTAGTTTAAGTCTTTGGAGATGGATGGATAGATAGATAGATGGATGGATGGATGGATGGATGTATGGATAGATAGATAGATAGATAGATAGATAGATAATATAGATGTGTATAAAGTAAGGGTGTGCATGCAAGGATGAGCTAATTATGATTTGCAAAATATGATGTTTTGTAGGCAGAAACCTGGCTGAATGAACAAGCCAAAAAAGAGGGCTGGAGCAAAGCGAGTAAACTGGAAGGTCGAAAAGCCACGGAAGGGCTGATTGGTCTCCTTATGGGTGACAATGCAGCTGTCATGGTTGAGGTATGTTAATGCATCAGTCTTACCACACAATGTGTAATTTGGTTGCCAAAATGATGCAGTGTGACTGAACTAAAATGTATGTTTTTCTTTTCAGGTGAACTGTGAGACAGATTTTGTGGCAAGGAATGAGAAATTCCAGCAGTTGGTGAAGGATGTTGCTTTGTCTGTAATGGCTCATAACAGCAGCAAAAAACAGACAGGGTATATTAAGGTACATGCCCTTCATTGACATTTTCAGAAATGTGCATTTCTTCCACACCTTCTGTAACCTCTGACTGCTGATCTGTTCTCTGATTCAGAGTGTGCTGTCTTCTGAGGATATTAGTAAGCTCCACGTTCCTGAGGGACCCTCACTGGCAGATCAGATAGCCTTGACTATAGGTGAGATAAACCATGATATATTGTGTGTGAGTTTGCCTTTTACATTATATTTACTTTGGCATAACTTTATAAAACCAGGCTTTTCTATGATTTCTTGCCACTTAAAGTGACCCCAAAAAGTATTTGGACACTTAAGCCATGATTAAAAAGGTATAAATGTACACTAATGGTCAGAATGTAGGGGCCAGTATTTTTTAAAAGCAAATTTTTTTTAAATTAAATTTTATTCAGTAAAGATGCATTAAATGAATCAAAAGTAACAATAACGATATTTACAATAGTACAAAAAATTGGTTTCAAATAAATGCTGTAATTTCTGTTCAACAAATAATCCTGCAACTGTTTTCACCTGCAACTGCTTTCATTTTAAAATATATTAAAATAGAAAACGGTTATATTTAATAATTCAACATTTTTACTGAATTTTTAATCAAATAAATGCAGCCTAGGTGTGCATAAGGAAACATCAGAACATCTTCCTGACCCCAAACAAAATTATCTGTATTGTACAAGAAATTATATAATTGCATGATGTGATTATATCTTATTAATCATGAAGTGATAATATCTTCACAACATGAGTTACACTTGTAAGCAATTTTAACACCCCCTGTTTATTGTCTACCTCCTAATAATTAAATATAACAATAAAAATAATTTTCCTTATTCTCATCTCATTTCAGTATTCTGTTTTTTTCCTCTTCAGGGCGATTAGGTGAGAACATTGGCATGCGGCGGGCCGTATCACTTGCTGTGCCCTCTGATTGGCACATTGGCTCATACGTTCATGGGGCAGTTCCCGGGCAGGTTGGCATTGAGATGGGGCGCTATGGATCGCTAGTTGTGTTTCAAGGTGGACCTAAGGACGGGACGGACGCTCTGGGAAGGAAGCTGGGGCAACATATAGTGGGCGAAGCACCTGTTTCTCTTGGCAACATGGCCGATATACCATGTGGTGAATCTGAGACAAGACTTTTGCCCCAGACCTTCCTCCTAGATCCCAAATATACTGTGGGACAGTACCTGACTCTACAGAACGCACGTGTGCTAGACTTCATACGCTTCCAGTGTGGAGAGAGCACCAGTCAGGAGGAGTGAACAGAGCTGTTTTGAATGAGAAAATATATTTCCTTAAAGGATCAATTGGTCTCATCAGCTTGGTTGAAAATCATATTTTCAGTATAAAATTCAGTGTAAAATGTGTAAAATATCTATACATCTTTAATTTTTTTTTGTCATTTTAACCAAAAACAGGGTCAGATCATATCCATGATATCTCTGCCTGCACCCCTCAACCAAAATTCTAGTTTATTCATGAAGTGAATTAAGAAAATTAATTGTAAAGTGGTCTAATAGACATCGTTGTTTTGACACTGACATGTTACTGGTAAAAAAAAAGCCTCAGATGGGTGAATCTGAACTCCTATGCTGGTTCTGTGCATCACAAAAAATAAACGTTTTGCGATCTGAAATACGGATGTCATAGTTTTGTCATAGGTTTTGATTTGACCAAATACCAAAGTTTATAGAGAACCTTGCTAAGCATCTGACCTGGACAAGTGTCTAATCTAGTGCTTTACTGCCACCTACTGAGTTTATTTCACCAGAATAATTCTGTTTATTCTGTTACTCTGTCTCTTTTTAGCTTACACCTTTAACCCTATGATTATTCAGGTAGGGTAAGGATAGTAAAATCTAGCCTAAACCATGAAGTACTCACCCGCCCAGTGGTTGAAGTCCTTCAGGACTGATGTAGATGACTCCCTTCTAGTGGTTCAACGGATCACAAATCTCACGGTTCGGATCACATTATGGTTTTTGACCCTCGGATCATTTTTCGGATCAGCAAGAAAATAAAAATATTTCAATTTAACTTGCTTTTCATCTATTACTTAAAGCGAAGTACTTCTTTGATACCACAGCAAATACTGCTAGATTAACTAAGAAAGTTTAAACATGATTAAAGAGACAAGAGAACAGCCAGTAAAAATAAGAACAAATACACAAATTACAAGCATAGATAAATACAAAAGAATATGTTACAAATAAAATAAGGCTGGTAGTATTCAAATACAGAAGTGTAATTAGGGAAAATAACACTGCAGAGGGTTCACTGCATAAATTAAATATAGATTTTTATCACAGCTGTTTTGTTGTAGCCGTCTGAAACGCGTGTGTGTGCGGCTGTGCGCGAAGAGAACAGCGCCCGAGTAATCGAGTTCCCTTTCGCCTTTTCTCTGTGGAATTGTTTAAAATTTGCTTGCTTGTGTAAATACGAACAAATGATGAATTTATACTCTATTATGGTTACATTTTGCAATTAATCCGCGGACCACGTGCGTGCCGAACCGTGGGGCTTGTTCCGTACGGATAACGGATCAACTACGATCCGTTTAACCACTACTCGGTTGTTCTTGATTGAGGCTCAGTTTGTAGTTATAAGTTAAGTCTCACGGGAGCCAATTGTAACAATAAAATCTCTTATTGGTTAAATACAAAACAGTTAATGCAAAATTAAAACTAACAAAGCAAGTATTGCAAGTGCAAGCATTCTAATATTAAAGCATATATGGCGTGAACATTAAAACAAGCAAATAACATAACATTGAAAGAGGTAAATAGCAATATCAGTATTTAAAACAGTTCTTATATTCTAGATGTGCTAATACCCATCCTGACTGAAACTTTACTGTCATCTAATGGACTGCACAATGTCGTGCATATTTCTAATAATTTCTTTGAAGATCTGTTCACAAGATATCAGGCGATATTTTAAGAGACATGCATTGTAATCAATACAAATTTCATTATTGTGATTTTTTTTATTAACCTGGTAATGATCATATAAATTATTTTTAAAGGTCAGTTCTTAGATCTTTATGTGGGTCACCTTTTTTTTGTCAGCTAAACCCCTTACCCTCGTAATAATAAAGGTTCTTTATTGGCATCTATGGTTCAAAACATTTAACATCCATGGAACCTTTTCATGCACAAAATGTTTTATATAGTGGAAGAAGGTTCTTTAGATTATTAAAATTTTATTTACACTAAAACATAATGGTTTTTTGAAGAGCTGTTCACTGAAGGTTCTGAAAGACCAAAGTGGTTCTTCTGTGGCATCACTGCAAAAACCCGTTTTGGAACCATATTTACTTGAAAAAAGATTTTAATTTATTATTTTAATAATGGCACATTTGGATGTTCAGGGTTCTGTATTGTCACTAGTGTTTTAGGAAATCCATCAAATTGAATATAATAATAATATTAATAATAAACTATGCAAAAAAAAAAAAATTAACACAGAAGTATATTACAGTTATAAATCAACTGTACTGTAAAATAAAAATGAATATTTGATGATAATTATAATTTTATTTGACAATTACATTTAAATAATATTTATGTATTAAATTCATCACTTTCAAACATTCAAACCATTCAGCTTTTTGTGAAATACTGGTGAAATATTGTAAATATATGTTAACAAAAATGTTGAAAACGTATGTGGATTGGGACAGCAGTGTTGGGTTTGTTTCCCCATGTATTGACCGACAGCTCTCATGTTGCCATGTTGAGAGAAATCGGGAGTAAGTGCAGAGGCGTTGTGTGCGTTGTCTGTGTGAACATGATGCTTACTGTAGTTCTAGACTACATTATATGAACATGTATTTACTCTCACCTGCACAAAAACAGATTCAGTATTCCACAAAATGAATAAAAACAGTCAGATGCAAACTCAGAATATTATACAAACCTGCAAAAATTAAATATGAGACAAATATAATTTATGTATTTAATCTCATCTTATTAACCAATGCCTTTGTTACTGACTTTGCCACTAAGCAAAAATGACACATTTGTGTTTCATTTTTTGTTATTGCTGAATAGTGTTGAACTTTCTTCTTCTGCATCATACTCTTAATGCACTTTGTTTGAGCTGTGCCCTCTACTGTACAGACATGAATTTACATTTCCTTCAGCCTGAGGCGTATTCATTTCACTTTTGGTGTGAAAGGGCTTTTGCATTTGTAAAAGAATACAAAAACAAACAAGCAAGCCTTGCACAGATTTAAAAATTAAGTCAAAAAGTACACTATCTTATATCGTGGTTTTAATTTTATTTCAAATAATTATGCAGGATTATTTATCTATTTTAAATGTTAAATTCGATTTAAATAGCCTATCAGCTTTTTATCATCTGTAGCTCAAACAGTACCAATGCCAAGGCCATAGTTTGAATTCCCAAGAACAGTATATGAACTGATAAAATGTGCAAGTTGAAAGCAATATAATTCGCTTGGGATGCGTAAATGTTCATGTTTTTAAAAAAAATTACCAACTCCTGCATGCATTTGGGAAACCTACATTACGGTATTCAAATTTTCTTCGACTGCGCGCGTAATCCTGACACACCGGTAATGACAGAAGAGGGAAACCAGCGCCCGCATAATTCGATTGGCCGACTCGGCTTGAATAGCGTTGAGATGACGTCATCGTGAATATAGCGGTGTAGCAGAGAGTGTTCGCCCATACTGTAATTCACACAGCGCTCGCAACGACGCTCCCTCCGCTCCATCCTCAAACACTGCAGTCATGGTAAGTACATTATCATAGCCAGCATCTTTCATTTTCACTATGATGCAGCCAGGTAATGCCTATTAGTCATACAGGCGGTAGGTTTACCGATGTGACCGTTAGATAACGTTGATCAAATCAACATGGTATTTAAGCCGTCAAGATCTGCTGTCAGTCCAATATCTCATGCGTTCAATATTCAAATGTGCTTTAGTCTGCACTGAGTGTTTAATTTTGTAGGATAATCTTAGTGTCCTTTATTGGAATATCAAACCAATGCATCTTCTGTTTTAACGCTGATCTTCTCTATCGCCCTCATTATGCTGGCATGGACAGTCTGACTTCACTGAGGATCAGATTTGTGGTGGGTAATAAATGTTGACTATTTAATTGTTATAATGCTATGAATTCGTCGAGTTTATATAGTTGCGTTTGTGTTGATGCAAAATAAACGTAGGCCCGTACATCAGTTGCACTGGCTGACAGATGTGCCGTTAATGCTCAGTCCTCAGAAGAACACACGATATGGTGTGTGCATGCTGTGCTGTGCTGTACCTAATGTCCAAATGTAACGCATAAAAATAGACAGGAGGTTTCTTTTATGTATCAGTTTCTAGTGCTGAAACGCTGAGGTTTAAGTGCAGGCAGTTTCCAGATGCGTCGCGTTTGAAAACACCGGAAGCTGTTGCAGTGGAATGTGTAGCTAGAGACATAGCTAAGGAACATGAAAATTGTTTGGATGTGAATTCAAGAAAATAGTAATAGAATATGACTTTAAAAAAAAAAAATTTACATTTGTTTTATAATTAAACAATCTGAAGTGACGTAGTATCATGGCCTACTTTTTCTGATGGTAGAAGCAGCACAAGCTTCTTTAGTGATCACAGAACAGTGCTGCGGATTTGATTCAACTCACTGACTCGAATCTTTTAAATCAGTTCACTGAAAATATTCGCTCACTGACCCCTTTGCGGGTTACATTGTTATGCCCGCAGATATGGTAAAATTATCTATGGTATTTCAGCCAGTACCGGGCGACATACAGTATATCTTTTGTGTTATGAGTGAGTCATTAAATCATTCACCCAACCGATTTGTAAGCCTCTTTATCATATAGAGTTACAGTATTTTGATTATGAATAAATGAGTGAATGCATGCGTGCATGGATAAACCGTACACAATAAGATCAATAACATGCATTTATTATTAAATGAAATAGATTTCATTTCATTTTATTCATGAGTCGTTCATAAGCGAAACAAGTCGTATTGCACTTTATTCAAATTTTTGTGTTTTCAAATCTACTGATAGACTTCAGAAATTTAGTGTTTAGGCATCATTACTCCTCACAAGTAACACATCAGATTTATCACTCCTCTGTTATGAACTGCTGTGCTTGAATGTTATCAGGCTAAAAAAAACAACAATAACATCAAAGATGTTCAATTACATTTTTACTTCACTGTGTATGTTCTTTGGTCTTTTTAAAACATTTCTAATTCTTTTGTTAGTCTGTTCTGTAGTATTCCTCCTTGTTTATGAAAAAACTCACACTAGACAGTAGAGTACATAGTGTATAGTGAGTCATTTGGGACACAACTAATATTCCTATTGATGTCGTGCTTGTTCTCTCTTCTGCCCATATATGGTTAATCACAGTAAGTGTGTGTGTGTGAAGTTTGACTCAGGGCGGCCCGGGAAGCATTGCATTCCTGTAAGCTGCTCTGCCAAGCACTATGATAGTGATCTCAAAGCCTCAAGCAAGAACAAAGAGCCTAATGATTTTAGATCAAAATGTGCTTGTTGTTTTAGAATAAATCACAAGAATTTTTACTCATTGTCATTTTCATTTTCAGTCCACATAACTACAAATAATTTTCTACATCACCTGCCTAAAGCATTTAAGCATATTTTCTCTCACTAACAGAGTTTAAGGAGGCCTTCCTCCTGTTTGACCGAACAGGAGATGGGAAGATCATGTACAGTCAGTGTGGGGATGTGATGCGTGCTCTGGGGCAAAACCCTGTCAATGCTGAGGTCCTCAAAGTCCTGGGCAACCCCAGTAATGAAGGTCTGGCCTTTCTTTTGCTGTTATGATTCAAGCATGCCTTGTCCTGTATGATTTGCTAAAAATTTGCATTTTTAGCAAGCAGGAAATAATTTTAAGTTACAATGTTTGAAAGCTTTGTCCTCTTCATTTAAAGGGATAGTTCACTCAAAAAGAAAAAAAGTCACCCTCATGTTTATTCACCCTCAGGTTGTTCCAAACCTGTATGACTCTGTCACTTCCCCTGATCACTAAGCTGTACTTGTTTACATTCTGTCAGACAAAAGCAGTTTCTCGTTTAATCAGTCTAAATGCACTCAGACCCACTTCAAAAAGGCCCACTGATTTAATCTAGATATGTCTTTATTCTCCACACTTGTAGTTATAAAGTGATTATTTTCTTCCTTAATTCCCAGTGGGTTAAGATGTTGATGTGAATAAAAGTAGTGATTTTTAATGTCCATTCTCTCAGATATGAACATGAAAATGCTGGACTTTGAGCAGTTCCTGCCCATGCTGCAGGCCATCGCTAAGAACAAGGATCAGGGTTCCTTTGAGGACTTCGTGGAGGGGCTGCGGGTATTTGACAAAGAGGGAAATGGAACGGTGATGGGCGCCGAGCTTCGACATGTCCTTACTACACTGGGTAAAGAGTCACGGCCTCTTATAGAACGATTTTACAGTAGAGTACAATACTATCCTTCTTTGATTATTTTCAAGGTTTTTTCTACTTAGGAAGCATCTTAGGATGTTTTTTTCTGCTATTGTCACCTTTAACTGAGAATGCTACTCTTTCTACAGCTGCTTTTATAAAGAGTAATTATTACAGAAATAATACGCTTTAAAAGAATTTGCTTAAGTACAATCTGAATGTAATGGTTTTTAGACACTTAATTGGATTTTATTTAAATGAAAATGTATTATAGTTTACATTTATTTTAAGTGCAATTAGCTGAACTTTAGAGTGCTTTATTTGACCCACTTACAGTAAGTAGGTGTTATTACTTCTATTGTCTTTAAAACATGGTTAATGTGTGCTGCTGAATGTACTGACAAGCATTTATGGTAAACTAAAATATGTCATTTCTGTTGAAACATTTGTAATGATGAAGTTGCAAATTAGTACATTTAAAATATATTAACTTAAAATGTAGTACAGAATAAAACACTACAGTTAAAATTATGAAGTACTTTACATGTACTTTAGTATGTTAGTCAACATATCAAATAAGTGTACTTCTGTAATTCTTGATTTAAAATGTACCTTAATTTGACATTATTAAAAGCATACTTAAGTGTTAAAGATCTGAAGTATACTTAAGTGGCCTTTTATTTCATTAACATTATATTATCTGTAAGTACTTTTTTGTAATATATTTTTAAGTGCACATTCAATACAATTAAGCACACTTTGTTTTCGTTACTAAAAATATACTGACTCAAGTCTGATTTGGTGCATTTTTAGTGCTTTTAACTAACAAGTAAAATATTTAGAAATAAAACCCACAGATATTTTTAAATCCTAAAATTGAATTTGTATCAAATGAAACTTTTTGTTGGATAAAATATCAGTCCTTTCAATCCCAAAGAGATTGACCACCAACAAAGAACTAAAAGCACCTTGCGGTTGTTTTCATTAGGAGAATTTAATGCATTTTGCCCATGTTTTACGATAGGTGAGAAGATGACAGAGGAAGAGGTGGAGACGCTCTTGGCAGGACATGAGGATGCTAATGGGTGTATCAATTATGAAGGTACAACAATCACATATGGGCCTTTTTTCTTCTCTGAACATCAAGACTACAGTAGAAGTTTTGAAGTCCGTATGTAAATCATTTGCATTTCCTTCCGACAGCATTTGTGCGCCACATTATGGCTGGTTGAGGAGAGGGTACGGATGGTCCTGTTTGTTTTTACTCATTCTTGTCTCCTTCAGCTCCCTCTCTACTGCGTCCCCTGGCTGTAGCGTAGCATGTAGCATTTCTGCATGTGCATAGGCGTCTCCTGAATCCCACTGTTGCCATGATGATGCTAAATTTGCTGGTCACCCTGATGCCAACTTCCCCCAAAACAACCCATTACCCTTTATTCTAAAATACAGTGTTATAACTTCAATATTGTATATTCTCATCCCTTTTGCTTGCATTAGTTCTAATAGGCCACATACACACTGCAGCAAAAAAACAGTTATAAATCCACTTAATATGCTCTGTACAAAGCTCTTGGTCATTTACGTGAATGATAACTAATTCATTTCTGTTTTTAAATGTGATAGTCACTCCTAAATCTCTGCAGTGTGTATGCAGCCACAGAATATATGGCAGCTGATGGTATTGTGAAAGAAAAATTACTGTTAGCATCATATTAAAGGTTAAAATGGTGCTAGTGTAGTAGATTCGGGCTTAATAGTTAAAAATACACATTTTTCGATTTTAGTCAATTTCTCAATTTGAGAATCAATCTTTTAGTCAATGCTGTTTTTAGTTGATGTGTGAACATATCATCTTCTGTGGAAAGATATCAATAAAACAGCTTGTAAACAATATGTAATGTTACATTTATCTCTGAAAAGCCATTCGACCATTGATCAAGCTATTGACCTTTAATAGTAATGTACCAACTGACAAGCTTCCCTGTATAGCTTACAGCATTAGTTATGAGAGTTTTTTTTCTTGAGGAAAATTGACATGCACTGTACCTGATATACCCCAATGAATCAACATCAAATTGAATTTATTCAAGACTGTTATTAAATCAAATTGCAAGCTTGTGAGTCATAATCGTAATCAAATCGTGGAAATTGTGTAAACACCCAGCCCTATCCTTTATTTTTGAAATTCTGCTGTTACCTTAGGAGGGTTTGTAAAGAGGTGTATTGTTAATTCTAGTTTTCAGTCCTGTCACATTGCTGTTCCTGCTTTCTATCTCTTTTGTACTTGTGTATTTATTTGTTCTCCACATGCCTATGTAAGGTATGCTAACTCATTCAAATTTCCTTTAGGCCTGGACAATCTCTTTTTCCCTCCCCTTTTCATTCAAATCATCCCAGGGCTTCTGCATTTCACCTCCTGTTGTTGCCAGGAAATGTTACTGAACTACAAATGCAGTCTGTTGTTTTAGTGCGATCTGTGGTTGTTTATGGATCTGGAATTTCTAGAACTTAATGTGTTGTGTCCATGGCAACATTTGCTGATCTACTGGGTTGAATTTTCTTGGATCACTGCCTCATACTACTTTTTTTTCCTCTCTTTTACAGAACTCGTAAGGATGGTCATGAGCGGTTGAAGAATTCAAACACGTTTATTTCATTTTTGTCCGTCAGGCCCCCCATTTATGTGATTCTTAATTTCCATATTAGCTTTTTTAATTATTTGATCTTTTTTTTCCCTTAAGTGCCTTTTATCATGTTTTTGGAGAATTATGGCTCAATTCATTCCAAAAACTTCCACTGGTGTTCATAGGTTTGCTTGAATACCTTTCAGCCATTACATTCATTCCATCAATTATTGTATTCAGCCCCTATTCGTCTTAAACTGTGAGGGACATTTTGATTGGCTCTTACTGTAGTTTTTTTTTTTTACTAACCTATTGTCTAAATGTTTGTTAGGCATTTGACATCCCTCTTTATTGTCTGCTGTGCATCATAATAAATATTCAGAATGATCTTTGATTTTGTTGATTTGTCTTTATGTCAGAGATGTGAGTGTGGGTGTATGTGTGGGAGAGTATGGGTTGCCTTGTAGGGCATTGTTGTACCAACCATTTCCATTTTAGTATAGTTAACTCTCTCCCAATAAACATAATACAAGACCATACCAATTTAGGAGTATGCGAAGGTGCTTGAATGTGTTGGCTGGGGAACCTGGTGCTGCCAATATGTTTTAGTGGTCCTGAGTTTACCTTATAAGACAAGTGGACTCGCTACAAAAACCTAAAGAAAAGGACTGTTTAGACTTCAGTGGTATGTATAACAACACCTTGTGATTCTAACAATATAGTCATCTGTCGTTATTGTTAAGACCTGTTCATACCATACCATATAATGATAATATGGAAGCCTGTTTCAGCCACAACTCAGAATTCTGACATTTTCTCACAATTCTAAATTTACATGTAACAATTCTTAGTTTTTACACAATGTAATTCTGACATTTTTTCACAGAATTAAGAGTTTACATCTCACAATTCTGACTTGTTTCTCAAATGCGAGTTTATATCTTGCAATTCTGAGAAAAAAGTCAGATATGTGAGATAAAACGTTGATAAACCATGATGATTGATGATAGACGATAAAATCATTGACAGCCAATCAGAACGATCTTGAGCCTTTAAAGCAGCAGTTGAAACTGCAAATAATAATAATAACTTTTAACATGTGCTAGTGTGGATGCTAATATAGTTTTATCATGTGCTGGTGTGGATGCTAATATAGTTAGTATAATATCAGTGGTGGCCAAAATTATTAGAACACTTGGCATATTTAAGAGGTTTGAGTTGTTTTTGTTGAATTGGCCATTACAATACCCATAAAACAAACTATTACCGGAACTATCTGCAATGGAAAGAATCTGCTGGAACATTGAAAATGATGGACTGTCCCCCTCAAAGTCCCAACCTCAAACCCATCGTGCAAATTTGGTGCGAGTTGGAAAATAAACTGGACAGATATATTGTACATTCAAAGGAAAGCCTTTGGCTTGAGTTGCAGAAGGCATGGGATAACATTAGTGTTGAAGTTCTCAGGAAATATATTGACACTATGCCAGAGAGATGTGCTGCTGTTATTGCTGCAAAAGGTGGACATACCAAATAATATTAAAGTTAAAAGTGGATAAAAACAGTACGACTCACTTTATCTGTTATTTGTTGTGCTCAGAGCAACCATCTGCATGTTTCATGAACATTATGAAATTAAATCATGTTTTGGAGGCAAAAAAAGTCAATGTTTTCAGATCTGTCAGGTGTTCTAATCATTTTGGGCACCACTGTACATTTTTTTTAAGTCTGAAAGATAAGTATTGCCAACTAGTGAATGAATGATAATACTGATTAAGATGTGATTTGCTGATAATTCTGCTTTCTGCCCTAGAATTATTTTCCCTCCAAGTTTAAATTGGGCACATTCATGATAAACTTGAGAGCTTCTTTTTGTACAACTGAAATATTTTTTCAAATTTCTAGCATGATAAATCAGCAATTTTAATCAGCAATATAAGATAAGGCTTATATTCTGAGCACTCTTCACACAGCTCATATCACTGATGATGTCTTTTATTGTGCAGAACCATTCAGTATTTTTGAAACCAAAATCGATCCATTCGTAGTCAAACAGGTGCTAGACAGCTCCTGCTACATCTCCTCAAAGGACGAACTGAACATCTTCAAACATTCACACACATCTCAATGCAATGGTTACCAGCTTTCACCATAAAAAAAAAAGTAAACAAAATGTAAAAATTAAAAAAAACGACAACTACTTGTACCACTACAATGTAAAAGACAAAGACCAAAGAGCTGAGCAAACTGATCGAATGACATTTTCAACACTGGTTATGAGTCGTGCAAAACTGTGAGGTTGATGTGAATCTGTTCTGTCAGTAATACTGCATGTTGGACTACTGCATACGTGTGCATTCACATATACAGTATGTGTGAGGATGTAAACTGCAGGACTATCACAGCGGGAGTGTATGAGTTTGTCAATTCTGATATTGGCAGATTTTACATCCATCACTACTAGCATGAGTAGTCTGGAAACATGGCAAATTAATGTAGATTAAAATAAAAAAACATACATACGTACATACAAAAAGATGTGTGGCAAATCAAAGAGTGCATGCACACCACACACACACACACACACACACACACACAAAGAGTCCAGCTTCATCGTATAAAACGACTGACACTTTCACATGAACATGTCAATAATACGACAACATCCACAGTCAGAAAGAGAAGGAAACATTACAGACATGTATAATATGATAACAGCATTACATAATTCGTAATAGTGTAAAGAAACATATAAAAATACAAAAATAGGACAGTTACAATATGAAGATATGACATACACAGACCACAGCTGCAAATGTAACTTTAAAATCCCTTGTCTCTACTCAGGTAGTTGCCACTAATTTGTAAAACAAAACGGTTTTTCTTCATGTTGTAAATACTTTCTGTGGGTTTGGCCTGTAACTAAAACACCCGTACACACACACACACACACACACACACACACACACACACACACACACACACACA